CTGTTAAGGATTTCTACAGGTTTTTCGTCAATTTTTTCCGCGGGTTTCCTGTTAAGTATTTCTCGTTAAAGTTTTCCGCAGGTTTTCTATTAAGGATTTCCGTGGGTTTCTGTTAAAGATTTCCGCAGAAAACCCGTTAAAGATCTTTGAGGAAAACCTATTAAGGTTTTCCGCAGGTTTCTCCCATACTTAGCCAATTTTGGCCATTGATTCCTAGGTGGTAGATTTTGACCCTTATACTTGTTTAGGGATATCATTAGAGTCTTCATCTTTACTTATACTCTATGTGTGATGTAGGGGTCGGATTCCACACCGGTAAGATCAAAGCAGAAAATGGCTGGGTGACGAGGTGATATGTTCCAAAGTAAAGAAACTGGGTGAAGGATGACTGGGTGATGAGGTGATATGTTCCATATTTTACCACTTTTACTATCTATTTTATTATATTTTCTATGCACTTTAATAAACTTTTCGGCCAAAAGAGATAGTTTTCCTCGTATTTGTAGTTTTAGAGTATTAACAGGGAAATCAAGCAAAAAGGAGCTAAAAGGGCCAAAATAAGTGTAAACCAAGCCATAGCAACATTCACAAGCGAAAGACACCGTCCAAGACAAAGATTCCACAAGATATCACATTCTACCAATTTGGACAGAACATACACGCCAGAAGTTTAGCAATAACTGAAAGATAAAATTTGCTTGGAATTGGATGAAACTTGGTGGGAACATATATCTTTGAGTTAACTTCACAATGGAGTTTAAATCATATCATTTGGAGCTGTGAGCAGGAAGATACACCCGAAGTACTGAAGACATGTCAAACTGCCTCAGAGATGAAGGAAGTGCAGAAACGAGTCTAGCACCGGAGCAGCTCGTGGACCAATGTTCCAGACCGTTGCCAGCACTCATGAAGCCCCAAAGAAGACTCCAACACCGGCCTATAAACCCGACCGTTGCTTGGCCRAATATTGGAGCAMTTTCGACCTAAAAGARCYTTWTGCCCTAAAGTGAACCCTAGAAGACCCTATACCTATATATATTAGTTTTTAGCCTCTTTAGGAGATTAAGCATCAATAAGCAGCAAGAGGGCACGACTAGGGAGCCCTAGGCAGCCGCCTATCTCTTCTCTAAACATTAAACACGTTTTCATCTTTGTTTTTCATTGGATTTGGATTCTAGGAGGAGATCTCCCTTTGTACTTCGATATAGAGAAGATTTCTTCCCTCTTACTCTTTAAATTCAGTTTATCTATGATGTTTCGTGCTCATCTTTGTTGCTTCGTTGTCACTTCAATCATGTCTGAGTAATTTACTTGTTCGGTGTTGGAGTCGAAACTAGCACAATTAAATTCGTAAAGACTTTTCGTAGGCAACTGAATTTCTAGGGTCTAAACCAACGCAAACATAAAGAGAATCGAAACTTGTTCTATTGCTGCTAAGAAAGCTTTAGCGTACAAGTCTTTGTGTAATGATTTTCGGATCCCTTTCTCAAGGGCTATGTACATGTATATATAGTAACCTAAGGCGGTTGTATGTTCCTAAGCAATAATGGAAATCCTTCTCTTCCTCTTCCAATTTCCATTCTTCCTAGGATTGCTTATATCGGTTCCTTCGTGGGCCTCGTCACGTTCCACTTCGGTCCAACATCGTTTAGTCAGGCGGATCTTGATACGACATCATTTGTTTTCGGTACGCATCGATCGACATCGTCATCATAAGCGGTCGACATCGGTGCCACATGAGGTTGACATTGGCACCATACATGGTCAACGTCGTAACGCGTATCGGCCAATCCACTTCGGAACCACGACATCGGCATAACATCAGCCCGTATCGACATCAGCAATTAAACCGGTTGATATCGGGACGTCGGCACGTGGACCTCGGCAGCATGGCTTCGTAGAATGACATCGGCACCATCATCGACTTCGGCTCCATCATTGGTCGACATCAGGACCACTTGACATCGACACCACCTTCTCGTCATCTACATCGGTATTGCATCTCGACGTCAATATTTATGCTTCGACATCGGCACCATATGTGCCCGACTTCGGTACGATCGACGTCGGCATGCAACTTCTCCAATTCAGCATTGCAGGTTCGGGCAAGCCGAAGTCACTTCGACCATATTGACATGTCTCCACGATAATTGATATAACTTCCTCAGCGTTGATCCAAATGACTTCAAACTTCTTTTGGGTAATAATTAACGCAATGATCTAACTCTTGACCGAATGTCAGCTTGTTTGGTCTTCTGATTGAGTGGTACCGATGTCATCTCTTCCGCACTTCGGCTACTTCGGCCAGATGGACATATCCTCATTAAATCGGGTGTATCTCGGAAACCACAACTCTAAATGATATGGTTTCAACTTCATTGGAAAGCTAACTTAAACACCTTCCTCTCCATGGAAACCTCGGCATAATGGCATTGGTAGAACGACTTCGACGGCCCTTCGAACTGATGACTTTGGCAAGGTGACTTCATAAATTGGGTGTATCTTACCAACCGCAACTCCGAATGACATGATTTCAAGTCCATTTTGAAGCTAACTCAAAGATCTTGCTAAGAATGGTGACTTCGGCATAATGACTTCGGCGGAATGACTTTGGCAGCCTGGCAACTTTGGCATAATGACTAAGGCGTAGTCTTCCGCAGAACGACTTAGGTGCGCCGTTTCCGTAAAACGACTTAGGTGCAGTCTTCTGCAAAACAACTTAGGCGCAGTATTCCACAGAATAACTTAGGTGCAGTCTTCCACAAAACAACTTAGGAGTAGTCTTTCGCAGAACGACTTAGGCGCTGTGCCGACATGAGCAACACGTAAAGCTTTTGCGTCTAAGTCTATTTTTCTTGTTCTTGGGCTCAATTGTTTTCAATCGTTGTTCTCAGGGGAGAGAGAACTCTGACTCCTATAGTTAGCCCCCCAGCTCGGCACTATTAGTTATAATAGTGGCGAAGCGATAATTGCTAGATAAGAGATCAACGGTTAAAATTAGTCGCCAAAATGTTTTGCCATGTAATTTATTTGGACTAAGACCAATGATAGGCACATTAGGTGATCGTTATGGTTTACAAGTGTGTTTCCATTAACAAACCCGCTCCATAAACGAATATGATATCGCGTTATGACCAACGATTTGATTGTTGGGTTTAGTATGGACATCTTGGTTTACGGTTACGTTATCATTAACTTATCCGATCCGACAATGAACATTTTAGCGATGTGACCAACGATTTGCTTGTTGGGTTTAAGATAGACATTTCAGTTTACAGATACGTTACCGTAAACATATCCGCTCTGATAATGATCTTTGTATAGCACGCTTTTAATCCTGCAAGAATGTGATAGTCAGATCTAAAATATTATGTAAAAGTTAATCACTGTGGCCAACAGCGACGAGAGTAAGGTATAGCGTCTGATTTTGTTAAGACTTTGGTTGCTAATCCTTGGAGGATGTGAACGGGATGCCTGTCCTGTTAAGTCTTTAGTAATCCGCAGAGGATGTAATTGAGATGTCTGTTTTGTTAAGACTTGTTCTCTATGTCAATATGTCTGTTTTGTTAAGACTTAAAATTATTGCAAAATATCGTGTTTCAAT